CTGGGCTTCCATACCACCTCAGCAGTGCCACAAACTGATCACCTCCATGCCACGCCAAATTGAGGCAGTAATTAAAGCAAAAGGAGCCCCTACCAAGTATTGAGTACATGTACAGTAAATGAACATACTTTCCAGAAGGCCAACAAAAAGTCACTAAAAATATTTTTTTTTATTAGTCTTATTCTAATTAGTTGAGATAGTGAATTGGTGGGTTTTTGTTAAATGTGAGCCAAACTTGGTTGAGAGCAAAGATTGAAACGTCGACATGCATCGGACATGTAAATGAGTTTGTCTGAGAGGGTTTTCTTCAATTGTAATAAGTATTGTTCTTATCTTTATTATGATTCTACCTGTTCATAATGCTGTAAATGAGTTTGTTTTCGGGGAAAGATGCGATTGGACTTTTACTGTATGTGTTAAATCTGTTTGAAGTATTAAAGAGCGACAGAGTGAAGCTATCTTAAAAGCGCTGTGATTCAACACTGCAAGTCTTGTAGACTTTCAGGATGTAAACTTTCTTTCTTTCGGTCTATCTTGTTTCTTCTAACACCACTGTACCTAAAAGGGCACTTTATTGATCACACACTAGGGTCATGTCACCTGTTTTGTTTTTTTTGGTGAACTTGAATCTATTTTGTTGTTTTAAAAGCACTCAGTTCCTTGGTGCAATATCTCTTGTTTATAATCGGCCTGCTGCTAACATATCAGATCACAGCTCATCCCTACAGCTGATCTGGATTCAGTCTGGTTCTTCAGTGTGAATCTGGATCAGCTCTGTAGGAACGAGCTCCGCCTGGAGTAAAGGCCCGTTCACACCAAGCACGATAACTGTAAAGATAACGATAAAGATATAGTTCTAAATATCGTTCTCAATATTAAAGAATAGCATAGTTCACACCACAACTATAACGATAACGATACAGAGGAACAATATCGTTGGAATCACTTTCAAAATGATTTTTTTCCCAGCTGATGAACGATAAAACACTGACAGCCTATCAGAATCCATCCTGCTGTAACGAGCTCAAGAATTAAAGCGGCAGACGAGCGTGCGCTTAGAATAAACAGAAGATATCGTTTGCTGGTGTGGATGCTAATATCGTTATCTTTATAGTTATCGTTCTTGGTGTGAACGGGGCTTAAGACTTCAAACTGGTTCTTTTTCTATTTTCGCCTCCCCACTCACACTTTTCGGGCCTCTGTAGGTTTGTGATAATATTATGATTATTGTTATTGTTATAAATTACCCTTCCTCTTTTGTAGGGACAGTTCTTTTTTTATTGATGAGGAACATTTACTGTCTGGTTCCTGCTCGCAACAGGACCTTGCGATTCGTGTAACTTGGTTCAAAATAAACTGATAAATGGAATTTAGGTGTGCTGTCGTATTACTGATTTATCCGAAGAGTCTTAATGTTTGGCTAGTTGACACTAGAAACACTTCATTATCTTACGCAAGCATAAATGACAGGAAATCAACTAAATAAGACTTAAAATGGTATCAGATGGGTTTGGATTGATTGATTTCAAGGTAAACACATTCATGGTATTTCTACTTCTGTAAGTGTTGGCAATCGGGTTTGTAAATACATGTCTGTTCTAGGTTTCAGTTTAAGCTGAAGGTTGAGAGGTTGAGATAAAGTTTGTTCGGTCATTTACTGGATTGTCCGAAGTCGAAGGAAAAGCAAACAAGAGGACAGAATTTAGCTTTATTGTGGGGGTGGGGGGTGGGGGGGTTTGTTTTTACAGATATGCAATGTTACATGTTTCAACGCTAAAAAGTTAAAAAGAACAGCAGTTAAAATTGAAATCTTTTGTAACAATATACACTACTGTTCAAAAGTTTGGGGTCAGTGATATAATATATATTACTATATATTAGTAATATTAGTAAAACAAATGTAATATATATTTTTTCTTTTTTTTTAAGAAATAAATGCAATTTAACAAGGATGTGTTAAATTGATCAAAAGTGATAAAGATTTTTATTTTAAATAAATGCTGTTCTTTTTTACTTTATTCATCAAATAAACCTTGAAAAAAGTATCACAGGTTCTAAAAAAAAATATTAAGCAGCAAAATGGTTTCCAATATTGATAAATCAACATGTTAGAATGATTTCTGAAGTATCACCGAAGACTGGAGTAATGGCTGATGAAAATTCAGATTTGCATGACGGAAATAAATCATATTTTAAAGTATATTAAAATAGAAAACCATTTTTTTAAATGGTAATAATATATAACAATATTGCTGTTTTTTCTGTATTTTTGGTCAAATAAATGCAGCCTTGGTGAACAGATGAGACTTCTTTAAAACACGTTAAAAACTTACTGATCCCAAACTTTTGAACAGCAGTGTATACATATATTAGTACTTAATATATACACACACACACACACGCCAAGGCTGCATTGATTTGATCAAAAACTCAAATAAAAACAGTAATATCATGAAATATTACAACTTGAAAGAACAGTTTTCTATTTGAATATATTTTAAATGATTTATTCCTGTGAAGCAAAGCTACATTTTCAGTGTCACATGATCCTTCAGAAATCATTCTAATATGCTGCTTTGCCCTTCAAGAAATATTTCTTCTTATCAATATTGAAAACAGTTGTGCCGTTAAATAGTTTTGTTGGGGGGAGGAACATGATTCTTTGATGAAGAGAAAGTTATTTAAAATAAATGAACCGGTTTTATTATTTATTGTTGTTAATTGACCTCTTCATGAAAAAAAATAATAAATTTAAAATAATAAAAAAATTAAGACGTTAATACTTTTTTCAGCAAGCGTGCATTAAATTGATGACAGTAAAGCAGAGCTATTGTAGTAATGAAATACTGAAATGGTTTTATGAATATTTTGAAGTAGGCTATTTTTTTTATATATTTATATACATTTTCCGTTTTCATTTAAATTTTAGTTAAAACTTTTAATTCCAGTTTTACTTATTGTAGTACAAGTTAAACTAAATTAAAATGAGAAATGTTGCCTTGGCAACTAACTCAAAGTCTTATATTTCATGTTAAGTTAATGTTAAGTCAACATTTTATTACAAGCAACAGAAATGTTTTTATAGTTTTAGTTAATCCAGAAGTAAAAACATTTATAATGTTACAAAAGATTTCGATTTCAAATAAATGCTGTTCTTTTTAACTTTATCCATCAAAAATCCTGAGACAAAAGCATCACGCTTCCACGAAATATCAACTGTTTTCAACATTGAAAATGTTTCAGCATATCAGAATGATTTCTGAAGGATCACGTGACACTGAAGACTGGAGCAGTGATGCTGAAAATTCAGCTTTGCATCACTGGAATAAATTACATTTCACAATATATTGAAATAGAAAACGGTTATTTAAAATTGTAATAATATTTTACTATTTAAAAAAATATTTTTAAAAAGATGTACTGACCCTTGAAAAAATTAAGCCTGACCTTCCTTAAGGTGCCACTTTAAAAAGTACCACGTTAATATATTTACATATTTCATGACATTGCAGTCATATACTTGTACATGACATTAAAATCCCATATTGAATTAACAACTGAAATGTTTATCTGAACTAACATATATATATATAGTGTTTTTGGTTACTTTTTATTTTCTCTAAAATATGTTTGAGCTCAATAACGAGAGGACCCTCTGTTGAAGATTCCTGATCTAAGGCAGGACTGATCATTTAGAAGAGACCATCTGCACGGTTCCCGTCACTATCCACTCCACTGACAGACGTGCAAACACAAGACCATAATCGATAACATCCTCACATGACCAGAGTGAGAGCCAGCTGCTGAACCAAAGACAAGGACGAAAACAGAGCGACCTTTGCAGGCCTTGTTCATTTAAGTGCAAGTTTCTGTTCATTCTGAGAGTTTAGATACAAGTTCAGCTATCATAGGTGAAAAAAATATTGCTATTTACTTTTACTATTAGCAAAAATAAGGCTATGTCACTTTCTCTCCTGGCTTTCTAGACCGTCCTCCTGAGCTGTGGAGTGTGACAATGGTGTTTGTATCCTGTGTTGTCAAACGCCATTATCACACTAAATAGCCACGGTGAGACCTCACAACCACCTCGGCCAATCAGCACAGAGAAACACAATAATGATGATGATGATGGAGTCTATTGTGGGAATGTGAAACACCCTTGTGTCAGCCGGAAGGTTCATAATATGGC